TCCATTATTTGCTATTTGCATGAGTCACGTCTAACTGGTTATGTCAACACCACATAATCTCAGGAGACAGCCACTGCCCCCTCAAGCACATAGCAGGTGATTGACAACCTCAGCTGCCAAGTTTTCCTATCAGAGTGTGTAGAGGGTTTCAGGTTTCAGATTACACTGAGCTCCCCTCATTATTAGTGCAGTGTGTGACTTCAGAACCCCACCCCTGCCTCTTGGAGATGAGAAAAATCTTTTGATCTATTTGTTTTAGAAGGCTGTAGAGGAGAAAGGCTGCAGGTAAACAGGTATAACTTATGTAGGAGGATTTTTTTCATCAGTCACCTTAGTGGGTATATTTAAAGGTTTACAACCGATGTTGATAAGCAAATTGATTCCAAACCAGGCAAATTACAAGTTTCTAATACCCTGTACAAGTATATGCAGATTTGTCCAATTTACAGACAGTCTTAGGTGTGAATTAGGATTGTCTGGTTTACCCCAAGACCAGACAGAACTGCATAGAAATATTGAGATGAATCGGACAAGAGTGAGTTAATATTTCTCCTGATCTGTTCATTAGTAAAAGGCCAGTTCACCTAAAAATTATAAACTAAACTGGAGCCCCTGGCTTCTGTATATGGACTCCGGAAATATAAAATCCTGTTTATAGCCTAGGCCTCATAATCCAAGGCGATGATATTGCCCATCATGGGCGACGTTGCTCAGTCACATGCCCAGCTTGTCACACAGCTTTTTCTTGCCTTATCTCTTTACTGCACATCTTTCTTCTTTTCCTTTTTTCTATTTTCTCACTTCTTTTCTCTTTCTTTTTCATACATGGCACATCTTATATACTATCTGAGGTATTATTATACATCTGTCTAGAGTATGAATGATAATGCCTCATAAAAATGCAGAGTTGGGGTCTCTTGTGTACCTACCTGCCCTTCCACTAAACATATTCTGGTCCAGCTATCGAATACATTGTCTTTGTTATGTAATTACAATTGTAACCTTGAGAATTCATCGGGATACCATGCTTTGTTTTTTGTACAGAATTATATGTTTCTTTTTCTGCTTGTTTTAATTCAAATAAAACATTTGAAACTTAAAAAACAAAGTATGAATAAGTTTTGGGTTGAACTTCATGAGTTGAATTGCTCAGCAGCTTCTAAACTAGTATACACTATATTCCCAAAAGTATTGGGACGCCTGCCTCTAAGCGTACATGAACTTTAATGGCATCCCAGTCTTAGTCCATATGGTTCAATGTTGAGATGGCCAACCCTTTGCAGCTATAACAGCTTCAACTCTTCTGGGAAGGCTGTCCACAAGGTTTAGGAGTGTGTCTATGGGAATGTTTGATCGTTCTTCCAGAAGACCATGGGTGAAGTCAGGCACTGAAGTCAAACTTGAAGGCCTGGCTCGCAGTCTCCGCTCTTAATTCATCCTAAAGGTGTTCTATCGGGTTGAGGTGCTGACCAGTTAAATTCCTCCAACCCAAACTCACTCATCCATGTCTTTATGGATCTTGCTTTGTGCCCTGGTGCACAGTTATGCTGGAACAGGAAGGGGCCATCCCCAAACTGTTCCCACAAAGTTGGGAGCATGAAATTGTCCAAAATGTCTTGGTATGCTGACACCTTAAGAGCTCCCTTCACTGGAACTAAGGGGCCCTGACAAGCCCAACCCCTGAAAAACAATCCCACACCATAATCCCTCCTCCACCAAACTTTATACTTGGCACAATGCAGTCAGACAAGTACCATTCTCCTGGCAACTGCCAAACCCAGACATGTCCATTGGATTGCGAGACAGAGAAGCGTGATTTGTCATTCCAGAGAAAATGTATCCACTGCTCTAGAGTGCAATAGTGGCATGCTTTACACTACTGCATCCAACGCTTTGCATTGTACTGGGTGATGTAAGGCTTGGATGCAGCTGCTCGGCCATGGAAACCCATTCCATGAAGCTCTCTATGCACTGTTGTTGTGCTAATCTGAAGGCCACATGAAGTTTGGAGGTCTTTAGCTATTGACTCTGCAGACAGTTGGCGACTTCTGCACACTGTGTGCTTCAACATGCGCTGACCCCGCTCTGTCATTTTACATGGCCTACCACTTCATGGCTGAGTTGCTGTTGTTCCCAGTTGCTTCCACTAACAGGTGACCGTGGTATATTTAGTAGCAAAGAAATTTCACGGATGGACTTATTGCACAGGTGGCAACCTATCACGGCACCACACTTGAATTCACTGAGCTCCTGAGAGCGACCCATTCTTTCACAAATGTTTGTAGCAGCAGTCTGCATGCCTAGGTGCTTGATTGTATACACCTGTGACCATGGAGGTGATTGGAACACCTGAATCCAATGATTTGAAGGACTGGCCCAATACTTTTGGCAATATAGTGTGTCCCAGGATCTCCAGCACATGGTTTCCTTGTCAGTCACTTTGTTGCAGCCATAACAAGGAGGTCAGCAATCTCTTTAGTACAACTTTATATGATGCAAAATACAACAGGAGGAGATAGACTGCTTTTAGGGAGGTGATTTGGGAACATCAGAGAGAACGTCTCACTATTGGTATCCCTATGAAGTATAATTCAATCAAATGTTACAATTGTGGGTGAACTTCTCCCTTAAGGCATATCCAAACCCTAAAAATAAATAAATGTAATATAATGCAGCTTACCAATCCTTAGATGTAGCAGCTACATTCATTTTCTTTTTTTAAGCTTCTTTATTTATTTTCACCTGATAACGCTGCAAAACACACACTATTCTAATGTGATGACGCTAATTCACTCCAACCAATCTATAGAGGAAGAGCAGCATTGTCACCCTAGAACGCTTTTATAACTTGGACTACAAACCACTCCCCCCCCTTGTCCCCATTATATAAAGCGATGTTGCTTTGTAGCTCATACAAAGATACTGTAGCTGAGAAAGCTGATAAAAAATTGTGGGATGTGAGACATAAGATTTCTGACCAGATAAGCAGGTATTTTTCTGTACTAAGCCTTAAAAAAAGAAAACTAATGCCGCTGCATATGTATAGACGCATCGGCTATAATATATTATTTTTTTAGGTTTGGATCTACTTTACATGCATAGCTAGCTTGGCATGAAACATGATAAAGTAACCTTATCTATTGATGGTAGGCTTTATCCGGTGCCTGTTGGATAGGCAGGGCTGTGGATATGGGGGTACCACCAGTCTTCCTGTATGGGGCCCAGGCCAGCAGGGGGGCCCAGGCAGCTGGGTGAATCGGATGTGGGCAGGTATGGTGATTGGTATGATGACGTGGGGACAATTACTGGAACCCATCCCCTGTATGGCTCTTTCTACAGCAACTGAAAGCTGGCTTCTTCTCCTCTCCCTCCCACTGGCTTTCAGCTGCTGGAGAAAGAGCCATACAAGGGATCTGTTCCAGTAATAGCCTCTCCTCTCCCCACTGCACTCATCCCCCTCCCTGTGCACCATACGTTTCCTCATGCTGCCCAGGCCCCCCTGTGTGCCTCCACTCCCATAGTGCTTCCGGCTTCCCTCCTCTCCTTGCCACTCTCAGCTGCAAGCACACAATTGGATCCTTCAGGTTGGAGAATGGGAGAAGGGTCACATTTACGACCCCGTTTCATTCCTGAATTAACACAATGAGTGATTGGTACCGATCACTTGCTGTGTTCATTCATAATAGAAGCATAGTAAACTTTTTTAAAACATTTTTTGGGGGGAGGCCTGTCAGGTTGACTGTATGGGACCCTGTGGTTTCTAACAGTAGCCCTGGGTATGGGTCCTATTTTACTAACTACAATGTTTCTCCAAAACATCCTGGGTCCCCAAAAAGTATTTTGCAGATATTAAAGTTGAATTCCAGGTATTATTTATTTATTATTTCAGGTACTTATATAACACTGTCAATTTACACAGGGCTTTACATATATATATATTGTACATTCACATCAGTCCCTAACCCTTAAGGGGCGTACAATCTAAGGTCCCTAACTCACATTCATATACATGGGCCAATTTTAGACAGGATTCAATTAACCTACCAGCATGTCTTTGGAGTGTGGGAGGAAACCGGAGTACCCAGAGGAAACCCACACATGCACAGGGAGAACATGCAAACTCCAGGCAGGAGGTGCCGTGGCTGCGATTTGAACCATTGACCCTAGTACTGCCAGGTGGAAGTGCTAACCATTTAGCCACTGTGCTGCCCAATTGTTTTGTAGTTACTTGGACCTATGTAAGTATGTATATTCCATACCTGGCCAATCCATGTGGAAGCAGAGAATAATCTGTAGTAGCCACTGCTACTACAGTGATTCTTGCTATTTTCCAGGTCCTCTGCATAAGTTGTACCTGTATATCTGCGTCTTTTCTCTCTATCCATTCAAACTGCTGAATTTTAAAGCTTGTCTGAGTACCAAAAAAAAGGGGGTGGAGAGCTAAAGTTACAATCTGCAGAGCTCAGAAAGGAGAGCTCTGAAAACTGATTGGAGGGAAGGGGCACGCTCCCCTTCACACAGCTCACAGGGACAGAGCTGAGGCTGTCACTCAGCTGGTGGTCCCTCTCCTGTCACCATTTTTCTCTTGGTGTCAGGAAACCTTGTCAGAAGTGACTCATGCTGATAGCATAGGAACGAAGCAGCAGACAGAAATGACACTTAGTGTTCTGGATTGAGACAAGTACACACTATAGAGTGATATGCTTTGTTCATATTTCATGTCTGAGGTGTACAAGCACTTTAAATGTTCAGAGAGCCTATTTAAATGTATTCCACCATTGAATACCTTGCATTGTGGAATTCAAAAGTTCCCTAAGGGCTTGTGTAAAGAGGCATTTGTTTGATTCAGAACTACTTTGCCTGCACAAGCTAACTGGAATGCAGAAGCAGGTCAGAAGAAGGTCAGAAGCAACTCAGAATCGTCTAGAATTTACCTGAAAGCTCTATCTACACCTGTATATTAAAAATGATGTTGGGTAACATCAGAAAACCAACCCTCTCTATTTGCAGAAAGCAGACTTGGCTGTCGCCCCCCTGACCATCACCTACGTTAGAGAAAAAGTCATAGATTTCTCCAAACCTTTCATGACTCTGGGCATCAGCATCCTATACCGGAAGCCAAACGGTACCAATCCTGGAGTTTTCTCCTTTCTCAACCCCCTCTCCCCTGATATCTGGATGTACGTACTTCTCGCCTGTCTGGGAGTCAGTTGTGTCTTGTTTGTCATCGCAAGGTAAGGCACTTTCCTATTGACATTCACGGCAAACGCTGTTCTCTGAGCTCTCAACACACTTTACAGGCTGTGCTAATGAAACTTTGAATATTCTCATTTATAACAGTTATAAGTCTTGCCATGATTTGCTTTCTGCCTCCAAACTTTTATCTGCTATTACTTTCCTGTCCTGTGCACATGCTTGTTGTATTAATATGGAGGCAAAAACTGGATACAAATGTCCATGTATTACATATATATATTCACGGAAATAATACAAAACCTAAAAAACATGCTGTTTGTAAGTATCAGTAATATTTCTTATTTTTAGTTTCCCGCAATCCCCTGTTAAATAGCTGAAATGTTTAATCAGGCTGCCAATGGAAGTGTTTGCAATGGTTGCTGAAACGGCAGAAGTGCCCACTCCACAAGTTATCTACAGTTCATATAGCAAAGCAGAGCAAAGGAGGGGGGCTTCAAGTAGTTGCGGACTGACAACTCATGGGGCCCCCGGGCAATAGGGATCATGGGGCCCCTGTGTCCTTGCCCAAACTCAAAAAAGCCTATGAAAAAGGTACCAGGGGCATCTCATGAGGCCCCCTACTGACCCTTGGGCCCTCGGGCAATGCCCAAGTTTCTAAATGGTCAGTCTGCCCCTGGCTTCAAGTGAATGTAAACCCTCACTTTTTTTTTTTTTGCAGCTAACCAGTCTTTAGATGTGATGGCTGCATTAGTTTTCTTTTTTTGCCTTTTATGTCTACCTGATGATCCTTCCAGTAACACACTTTCTGTTTTAGGCCCCTGTCACATGAGCTGTACTCCTGTCTGGTTTTTACGTGGACCGAATCGGACCCTCCATTTTCTTCAATGCAACGGGATATGTAAATGGATTCATGTTCGATTACACCCGCCTATATTTGATCCGACCTGGCAAAAACAAACAGATGGGGATCCATTCCCCTCCATCTGTCCAGATCAAATCAGGAGGCAGTCGGGTGTAAACAGACAGCTTGTCTGTCTTGTCTGGGTGTAAACCGACAGCTTGTCTGTTTACATCCGACACCCCAATGAGCAGAGTGGGCCGCTCAGCAGAGGATCAGTGGACAGATCGACTGCTGAAAAAAGCATATCCAGCCAGTGTGAGGGGGTCTTAAAGTATAGCCACTCACTCCTCTGCTCTATCATGCAGGAGCAACACAGCCGCCATTGAGCAGAAGGACTGTTTGGAAAGGATATTAGATGGACTCGTAGATTTAGATGGGCTTTACATAAGTGACTAACAAATGAAAGCCACAATTTTTAGGCATTTACAGACGCATTTTTTTTTTCTGTTAGGATAAAGGTTTTAAATAAAGAAAGAAAGAAAGAAATACTAACCATTGCAAGCACCCCTGCCAGGGTTAAATGGTTTGTCTCAACTCTCTTAAGGGCTCGTTCACACTTGACTGTTTTTCCAACTCTTGCCAAACACCCCTATAGTGTTTGACAAGCGTTGGTCCGGCGTTTGCGGAGCGTTTTTAATGCTCCGCAAACACCGCATGCACGGCTTAGCGGTGGTTGCTAGGCGTTTGCCAAGCGTTAACAACAAACGCCTATAATGAAGTTTGAATGGTGTTACCGCTCCGCAAACGCCTCGCAACCTCACCGCAGACACCGGCATAGACTTGAATAGGAGGCTTCAACTCCTCCTGACTCGACCAGAGGCATCTGTTTTGCCGCGACGCAACGCTAACGCTCCCGTTTGAACAGCACCATGTGCTGCAATGTGCAGAATTTTCCCAGGCGTTTAGGAAACGGTAAAAACGCTTCCCAAACGCCTGTCTGCCGCTTGCAAACAAGGCTAATGTGAACGTAGCCTAACTGCCACGTTTCCTGAACAGCTTGGTCTGTTAAAGAAAGTTGAAAAATAGCAGACTTAATTGTTGGATCATCAGGTCAAAGGAAAGACAAAAAAGCTTAAAAAAAAAGAAAACTAAGGCAGCCACCACATTTAAGGATTAATAGTTGCAATAAATAACATTTTTGTTTTTGTGTTTAGATACACTGTAACTTAAATCAAATCTGTATTTTACATCCATTGCTAAAAACCGTGTCATATTTCATGCACTAATAATTGATGCCAGAGGCAGTCCAGAGGATAGAGACCCTTTTGGAAAATACCTGGAGCCTCAAAAAATGTGAGCTTTTTCTTAAGGTTGAAACGGTCTTTAGCCCAGAGCAATGTATCGCAAGTTGCAATTATAATTGTTTTAAAGCTTCACAATTGACATTTTTTTATTATGTTTTTATATTATTTATTATAAATGATTAAAAATGCACATTTAGGTAATAAAATCCTTTTCTTTAATGATTTTCTGCTTTAATCTTTAGCTAGCAAACATGTGCCCAATTTGGGTGGGGTGAAGGAGGTTTTCTCATTAGAGCTAAACTCCAGGCACAGCTTAAATTGTACTCAGATAAAGAAGAAGTTTTATTATGTCTGAATTGATATATAATATTGGCCAGTGCACCATCATTTTTGCAAAGTCAGCATTCCCTTTCCACAGAAATGTCTAATTAGCTTTGATCCTTCAATCCTAATGTCCACTCTGTCTGTATCGGTGGAGCTCTGGGCTGCCTTTAATGTGCTCATCAGGCACTTTGTAATAAATAGTAGCTTACCAATTATCCAACCTCTAACTTCCATTTTTGCTGCAAAAATTTGTCTGGTAAAGGAAGTAAAAAAATAACAGCAGAATCAACAGGAAATAAGACTAAGTTACAGGGGAGGACTCAGAAAATCAAATCTGCTTTGTTAATTCTAGTGAATTCTAGTCTGTATTATACACTCACCGGCCATTTTATTAGGTACACCTGTTCAATTGCTTGGTAACACAAATTGCTAATCAGCCAATCATATGGCAGCAACTCAATGCATTTAGGCATCTAAAAGTGGTGAAGATAACTTGCTGAAGTTCAAACCGAGCATCAGAATGGGGAAGAAAGGGGATTTAAGTGACTTTCGACATGGCGTGTTTGTTGGTGCTGGACGGGCTGGTCTGAGTATTTAACAAACTGTTTATCCACTGGGATTGTCATGCACAACCACCATCATGGTTTGAGATGATAGAAAGGCAACGGTAACTCAAATAACCACTTGTTACAACCAAGGTATGCAGAATGCCATCTCTGAATGCACGATATATCAAACCTTGAAGCAGAACAGCTACAACAGCAGAAGACCACAGCAGGTGCCACTCCTGTCAGCTAAGAACAGGAAACGAAGGCTACAATTCACACAGTGTCACCAAAACTGGACAATAGAAGATTGGAAAAACGTTGCCTGGTCTGAGGAGTCTCGATTTCAGCTGTGACATTCAGATGGTAGGGACAGAATTTGGCGTAAACAACATGAAAGCATGGATCCATCTTGCCTTGTTTCAACGGTTCAGGCTGGTGATGGTTTCATGGTGTGGGGGATATTTTGTTGTACCCCTTAGTACCAAATGAGCATTGTTTAAAACGCCACAGCCTACCTGAGTATTGTTGCTGACCATGTCCATCCCTTTATGACTACAGTGTCCCCATCTTTTGATGGCTACTACCAGCAGGATAACACTCCATGTCATCAAAGATCAAATCATCTCAAACTGGTTTCTTGAACATGACAATGAGATCACTGTACTACAATGGCCTCCACAGTCACCAGATCTCAATCCAATAGAGCACCTTTGGGATATGGTGGAATGAGAGATTTGCAACATGGATGTGCGGCTGACAATTGTGCAGCAACTGCATGATGCTGTCATGTCAATATGGACCAAAATCTCTGAGGAATGCTTCCAACACCTTGCTGAATCTATGCCATGAAGAATTAAGGCAGTTCTGAAGGAAAAGGGGCTCCAACCTGGTACTAGTAAGGTGTAACTAATAAAGTGGCCGGTGAGTGTATATGGCATTTTGTATTTTGCCTTTAGTACAACTATAATGGCTTTGCTGAAAAACGTGTGGAGTTTACAGAGTTCAGTAGCTGAACCTTAATTAAAAAGCATGAGACCTTAAATGGCCCTTAATGACCTGACCCAGAGCAAGAATGAAAATCAAAAATTGCAACTTCATTATCAGGATGACTGCCCCAGAGCCTGCAGCTTCAAAAAACAAGTCAGCAAACTCAACTCCTATACTTGTATTCTGAAAGGTTCCCTTAAAGTCCTTGATCAGAGAACTTATTCCCGTTCTTGCTATTGTACATCCCAGAACACAGATTGGTTTTTGATGGTGGTGGTATGAATGCAGGCAGCAGATGTAACAAGATAATAATTTTTCGCACCACACTGAGAATATAAATAATGTATATGATGCTCTTGCTACTCCCTAACCACAAACTCATATGAATAATAAATGAATAAATTCTCCTAATTAAAGTGAACCACCATTTTCACCTATTATCCCCATGCAACATATAAATATTATATGTTATACTGATGTGGCATGGGGATATACATGAAATAGGTGGTGGTAGGCTTTAATTGGACTCATGTATTAATATATTATTAATATATGTTTGTAATTGGGAGTAGCAGTACAGTTATTTACATAATTTATATTCTTACTAGGACCCAAAGTGATTGTAATTGGTTTTAATTATGTGTTGTGTTTATCTTCTATTTTATGTGATTAAAACTATCTATAAAGCTCAACCTGTTACTATGCTTGTTAGAGAAAATCTTTCCTATCTCACGGTGCTGACTTCTCATTATGGAAATGCTAGTTCCCTGGTTGTCATGCGTTTACTTGAAGTGATACTAAAGCCTTGTTTTGTATGTTTTTTTTCTTTTTTTTAATAGCAAACATCTCATAATTACCTGCTCTGTGCAGTGGTTTTGCCCCAATCATCCTCTTCTCAGGTCTCCCGCCAGCAATTCTGGCTCCTCCCTCCTGAGCAGTGCCCCCATAGCAAGCCACTTGCTATGAGGGCACTGGCATGTGCATGCTCCCGAGCCCCGCTCTCTGCTTTCATAGGACACAGCAGACCGGGACTT